AGTGGAAGATGTATTTCATTGGGAATATAAGTTTGCCAGTGAATTGCAGAGAGCTTTAAACTGATCACAGATATAAATTTACATAAAATGATATGAACATATGAGCTCAGATGCTTGGAAAGTAATAGCCATCATTCTCTGTATTGCTAGGGAATAAGCAAATTGCTGAATGGAAAATCATTTATTTCTTCCAAAAATTGTACTACAGCTTTGGGGATCCATCCGATCAATATGCATTAGGATAGGAAGTGAGGGAGTGGATTAAAAATGCTTAGATAATTTAGTTCAGTTGATTTATCTTAGGAACCAAGCTCATTTTTCTGAATTATTTCCTTCGTGCCTTCTCCTACATGGTTTAAAAGTCTTTTTCTCCTATTCTCCTCAGAGGCTTTTGAGAACATAGCATTGATCGACTGCAGGAGGGAGGAGGGACAGGGAAAAAAATGAACATGCTTAAAATAATTTAGGCATCAAATTGTAGTTTTTTTCTATATGTTCATTGCAAATTGAAATTAAACCACATCAGAAGCCTGTAATTATTTGCAACATTTATCTGAAAAAGAAACATTCAACTGGCAATCATATTTAGTATTATCACATCCTTTCATATTGTTCAAAGTGCTTGGAATCCACTGTAAATTGACTAATTTAAAACCAAAACACATGTACTCACCCTCGCTACAATATAGAAACAAAGAGCATGACCAATAGCAGCATCTTAAATGAACAATAATTTAGGACACAATCACTCCACTGCAACCTATTAATTTGGATCATTATTGGATGAAGAACCTTTGATTTGTGTCATCTCTTGTTCTCTGAAAGGTTTTGTTTCATTTTTGTTTAAGATTTTGTTTTGCAAAATGTGAAGATAGAAGTATTTTAATAATACCATTGAAAGAAATTATGAAAATTACTGAATATAATAGACATCCCAAGTTATAGTTCTAGGGATGGAATCCTTTCCATGAATTACATTTCAAGGTCATTCACAGGTGCTTTGTTAGAGAACTCGTTAGATGAGTACAATTAATCTGATACAACTCCTGTTAGAAGAATTTCATTGGATAAAGAATATAATTTGTGCAGGATTATACTTGCATTTAGCATTTGCCTACATTGTAACTTTTAATAGCTGACTTTTAATATGTTTAGTAATAGCAACTTCATCAAAATTACTCGTGGAATATAATTTGTATTTTTAAAAACCCGGTTAATTCTTCCATTATTTCTGAAGAGTGTGAAAAGTGCACCGTTGGAGGACTCGAAAAACCAATTTAGGAACAGAAGGTCTGTTTATGGGATCTAGGAATGTCCAGTCTTGACAACTCTAAGACTTATGGACTGCAACTCTCAGAATTTGCTGGCCAGCATAGATGGCTAGGGAATTCTGGGCGCTGAAGTCCACAGGTTTTAAAATTGCCAACGTCGAACATTCCTGAACTCTAAGAATTGACACTGACTTGATGGCACATAACCAACACCTACAACAGCAATTTCATTTTATCTGCACATCCAAGGTCAGCATATTGCTAGAGTTGAAGAGGTCATGATCAAGATGTCTCCCGAAACTTCCCTGCACATTACTTTTTGAAACTTGTTAGTAATAATTTTATTCAAGATTACATTAAATAGCTAGAACTAATACCAATTATAAAAAATAAAAAAAGAAAAAGTGCAAAGAAAAACAAGAAAAAAAATTAAAAGAGAAAGGAAAAACTTTCTCCTTTAACCTAACAAGTATAAATGACTTTAACAACTTATATACTTCTCTTAAAATACAACAGTCTCTTCACCCCATATCTCATCTCATCTCATTCTCTATTAATAAATCTTTAAAGCCTCATTATCCATCCTAATCAGCAAAAGTCCATTAAGGGTTACCAGAAATAACAACTTATCAATTATAAACTTGATCTAATAAACTCACCTGAATTCCTTCCTTTGACATTTGTGTCTTATTTTCTATCTATAAACAAAACCCCCAAACCTCATCATTCAAATCTAATCAATAAAGATCCAATGCAAATTATCAGATAACAGCATAACTGTTTTAACTTTAATCTAATAAATTTAAAATGCAACAAATGATCTCTTTCCCATATAACTCTTGTCTATAGACAAAATCTTAAAGTATCACCTTCCAAATTAGAGTCTGATTTCCAGATTATAACTAGATGAAAATATGGACCTTTTTTCTCAATAAATCACTGTGATACTTTTACCTCTTTTATGGGCAGATCAGACTAAGAAAATCGTCTGCACATTTAACTTTTATTCTGTGGAAAGATACTTTGAAAAGATTTATTAAAATTAAAATGAATGAGACTTACTTCTGAGAATCTACATCTAGTACTGGCTGTTAAACTTTTGAAATTCAAATTTATTCCAGTGTTAGGAATTATGAATATGAGTGAGAGGGATTATTTATGTGTGTGCATGCACTGTCAAGCATCAAATATTTTAAATCATATTTTTAAAATGGGGGGATGATATTTTTTCCAGCCTGTCCCAAAAATCCAGATAGGATGTGACACAAACTGACAAAATTCAGCACTATTTGTTATATTTTTATAGGCTGTCAAAGTATAGATGTATGCTCAGTGTTAAAACATATGCAACATAAAAATTATAAATTCAGCCAACCAAAGGCTCTTTGCAAAGAATAAGAAAAAATGATGTTTAAAAATGTTATCCTGCTTTTTTCCCACCTGACTTGATTATACTTCTGCTTTTTTCTAAAACATCTTATTCAACAAATATTTAAAGAAGAATTTTTATTGTTTCATTTTGCAGAGATCAATCATCACTTCTGTCAAGAAGCTTTAGATATTTATTTATTTTACAGAATGCCAAACAAACACTTACTTTGGTTTTCAGATGAAGGAAAATATTTAGCAATAATATGAGATAATGCTCTATCTGCCATATGTTCTCAGATAAGAATCTTCCTCCCTTAGTTGTAATTATTAACATAAAATTAACCTAATTGCTATAACCATAGTGTTACTAGTGTTGGTATTTATCATTTGTAAATTCATTTGTAGCTATGTATTTCACTGTGTTTGTGTGTGTTCTATAGATGTAGGAAGTTATGAACAATCATGAATGATACTGAAGTACATGAGGTCACTTCAAAGCAAGCCATTGAGGCAAAAGGTTTGTTTTGCAGTTTATGCAGCGTGTAGCAAAATACCAGAATGGAAACATTTAAGAAAACTCAACAAGGGATGGGCCTCAAAACATGGGATTAATTCATCTGAATTGGATGAGGTGATGAAGTCGGGTAGTATCAGGAAGTATAAGAAGAATACTAAACTAGGACTCATCAAGTTTAGTTAGAAAGGGGATTGGAGCTTAAAACATATGGAGAACAGTTGCAGAAATTGGGTATGTCTAGTTTAAAGAAAAGAAGGACTAAGGGTGACATGATAACACTGTTCCAATATCTAAGGGGCTACCCCGAAGAAGGGGGTCAACCTATTTACCAAAGCATGCAAACACAAAACAAGAAGCAATAGATGGAAACTAATCAAGGAGAGAATTAACCTGGAACTAAATTTCCTGACAGAACAATTCATCAGTGGAATGACTTGCCTCCAGAGGTTATGGGTGCTCCAACACTGGAGATTTTTAAGAGGAGATTGGACAAGCGTTTGTCTGAAATGGTATAGGGTTTCCTGATCAATCAGAAGTTTGGACTAGAAGACCTGCAAGGTACCTTCCAACTCTGCTACTCTATTAGAAAGTCTAAAACTGAATCCCATCACAGAGAATGTGGCATTGATCATTGCACTAAGCATGGTTCCACTTCAATAGGATTTTTTGGAACTTTAGCCTAGTCTGAGTTAGGAATAAGGGATGAGGGATAAGTGAGGCTGTATTTTTAGTTCAGAAAGTAGAACAATAAAAAGTTGTAAACCCCTGTAATGATTCCAATGTCCAGACTGTCTGGATAAATCCAAACAAGAATAAAGCTCCTTTAAGAAAAGAAAAAGGGCCTCTTTGTGACTGAATTGGTATGGACAATCTGTTGAGTAAATTTATTTTAATTTTTGTAAAATGCCAATTTAACTGCAAAAGCCAGATAGCTACAGCCACATTTTGCTTAATGCTTTACGAAAGCATTCATTTTTTTCCATGCCTGAAAATGTACTTTTAGAATATTATTAAATTATTATATTGATTGAGAAATGAAAGGTAAAGCAACAAATAATAGTCTAAAAAGACAATTTAAGATTTGTGATACTTATGTTCTCCTCACAACAAACATCTTTTACTTATTGATTACATCATTAAACTCATTACAGGTATTTCAAAAGTTAGTAAATTATACTAAATTCCAATTGGAAATCAAACATGTCTACTATTGACCTTATGTTTCTCTTTGATACTGGTATTGTAATAAAAATGTCTTTAGTTCTGATAAATGTACACATTTATGTATGCTATTTCCTCTTAAATCCTCTTGTGTTAATTTGGAGCATGACAACTTCTATTAATCAGAAATACTTCATCTAAATGTATACAGAGATTCCAGAACGTAATATTGACATCTAAGCAAAAAAGTTAATTAAAGCTAAATTTGATTGAGCTTCAGGATAGATATAATTTTTTTTCCCCAAAAATGTTTATTACCACTTTTGGTTTTTGAAATTAATGTCTCTTATTGAAAGTTCTTAACTGAAGCCATTTTTATCAAAAGTAATTGCCTTTATGTATGTTAAAATTAGCACTCTAAAATGAAGGAATCCTTTCTATGCTTTGTAGACTCAAAACTTTCCTGGGACATTTTTTAAATGAAAACGATGAAAACAATTATTGATTATATTAAGAATTATAACAGGAAACAGGAATAATCTAGGTTCTATTATAATTATATCTTATTTTAAACAAAACATAGGCTACAATCATATCTTTCTAATTCTACATTAAAAATGTTCCCTCTCCATCACCTGGTTGAAGTAACGTACATACAGTACACTTTAATTCACACTTACCTTTGCTTCCTTGAACTTGGAGTGCAAAACAAATTATAAGACACATTAATCCAATTTTGAAAAACATTGGATCTTTCTCCCCCCTAAAAAAATGCCCTTCACAATTTTCATGAGTAGTCATGCAGAAAAAATGAATTAGAAATGACTTAACAAGAGATTTCCCTTTAAAGTAAGGCAGTAAAATGCCCGAATCTCCTACTAGTTGACTTTTTAGAAAATGTGCCTCCAAATATATATATTTGCTGCTCGAAGCACGAAGCTGAAGACACCAGCCTGAAGATGACGAATGGGATTTCGTCGAAACGTCGCCAAGACACTTCCAATTTTACGCGGGAGAAAACCCGAACAACCAAGGACCTACAATATATATATATATATATATATATATATATATATATATATATATATATATATATATATATATATATATTTACAGTGTCCTCTAGTCCACTGTATAATAACAGATGTGGAATATTAAGCACTGAGCAAATTCTCAAGCCAACATTTCTAAGCCAAGAGAATGGAAGTAGGACTAGAGTAATAATTCTGAGAGAGTGACCAAGTTTGAACAAGAATAACAAAGCAGTGTCTGTTTCGGGAATAAGCTCTTTATCTGCTGCTCAGACATAATCCCTCTTATGGTCCAGCTGAAAGAACTATCTTCATCTTATTAACCTTCTGGAGTGTCATCTGTCAGCCTTTTTTTTTTTTTTAGTAGACTCCAGTAAATAATAGAAGTCTTCTATTGATGATTACCTGCCTTTGGGCATTCAAGCTATGTGGCTTATGTTACTCCGAGAAGCCTTGTCCAATGACAGTGGCAGAAAAGTGTGTTATTGCATGAGAAGGATTCATAGCTGATGAAATCCCTCCAGCAAGGCATTGTGTGTAGCTTTTCAATTTGAAAGCTAGGAAAAGGCTGCCTCAGCATTGTCCAAACAAGAAATGCCATTCCTTGCAGATAAACTGTGTAACAATCAACATTTGGTGCCATATTAGAGAGGGGAGTACAGATGAGATGGTGATTGAAGCAGAAGGGAGATTGACACAGGTTGTGCATCAGTTATACCCTGCTCACATCACTCATGCCCAAATCACCTCTGTCTTAATCACTGTAATGCACTTTATATGGGGCTACGCTTTAAAAGTATTTGGAAGCTTCAATTGGTTTAAAATGAGATGGCCTGTATGGTTTTATGCAAGTCTAGATTTGCATGTTATCTCTCTTTTGGATGCTGCATTGGTTGCCAATTTGCTTTCAGGTTTAATTCATGGTGATAGTTATCACTTATATGGCTTGGGGCCAGGTTATTTGGGGGACTCTCTTTTCCCAATTATGTCTACCCAACTAATCAAATCAGATAGGCAGAGTGTGTTACAGGTCCCCTCCATCAAGCAGTTCCACCTAGTGGGACTAAGAAGAAGGCCTTTTTTGTGGTGGCTCCCTCCCTACCTGTGGAACATCATCCTTGTTGAGATAAGACTAGCGCTTCCTTGATGCTCTTCTGAAAGGCCCCAAAGACATGGTTTTGCCAGTGGGTCTGGGGAATCTCAGGTTAATATGGAGTCCATAAAGTGGTTTGTTTGAATGTTGTCTCCAGGAGGGTGGGGGTATATTCCTGTAAACTTCCCAGAGTCACTATGAATGAGTTGGGTGGCCATATAAATTTCTTAAACAAACAAATAAAAAAATGTGTCTTGCAACCTTTACAAGATCATTTTTTTATAAAAAAAGTTTTTATTTTTCATTTATCAATTACATAAACAAAAAAGAAAAAATTTCACATTTGACAAAATAAAATAAATACACATAGGTGTTGCTTGCCCACCCCCCCAAACTGCATCCTCCCTCTCTAACACTCTCCCTTACTTCCCTCCTCTTTCTCACCTCCCCTCCCCCCTCTCTCCCCTCCCCCTCTCATCTCACCATCCTACTTCCTCCCTAACCTTTCTCCTCCACTCTCATCCCTCTTCGGATACAGTGCCGGGGAAATGCCCAAGCAACATCTCTCTCATAAGTTGTCCCATCTATTATCTTACTTTAATCCTATTGTCTAACCTACTTACCCACCCACCCCCAACCCCCCTCCCCCACTCCCCAGAACACCCACCCACCCCCAACCCCCCTCCCCCCCACTTCCCAAAGCTTGACACAGGGTTTTCAAACATATTAAACAAAATCTACTTAGCTTTAACTAATATAAACTGAATCTAACTAAACCTATCCAACTATACAAATAACAAAATCAATAACTTACTTTAACTCAGATACGAAACAAATTTAAACAACAAATTCAAACAAATTAAAAAATTTAAACCAAAAATTATTCATAATCAACTCTAAAAATCAAATACAAAGCAAATTAAACAATTCCAAATTTAAACCAAAAATTATTCATAATCAAATGATACTTTTAATCATATCTACTCTAATCATAATTTATCCATTAAATTCCATATTTATTCTTCATATAATCTATCCACCTTCTCCACACCGAGATGTATATTTCTTTTAAACAATATAAACTTGGCTCTTAACTCTTTTCCCCCCAGACCCAAGTAAATTTATTAATCATAAATTTAACCTTTTCTCCTAAATCAAAACCTATCAACTTCTTATACACTTTTAATATATCATAATATATCACGATTATCTTTATACATTTATTAAAAATTATAATAAATACTCCCAAATATTAAAACCTATCAAGTCTTCTCCCAAACAGAGATCATAATTTTAAACTTTTAAACTTTTCCCCCTAAATAACAAAGATTTAACAAAACTCTTTATAATTTCCCCCTAGCTGTATCATTTTTTGATACAGCTAGGCCAAATATAATTTTTCTGAGACTTCGAATTTTGATAAGCCCCTGTTATTTTTATTTGATTGAAAATGGATTGAACCACTTCCAGAAAATCAGAAAGAAAAAAAAGTAGAGTTTTCAATGTCCTGCACATTCGGCTTGTTCTGACTAGCCTTCGTGATTTGAGATTATTTACTGGAAACAAGAAGTGTTACTTGAAGCAAAAATGACAAAGCTTTCGATTCGCCTTTCATTTTATGTTATCCTTTTATAACCTCAAAGACTATCCATTTTAGCTTTCCAAGTAAATATTTTCATTGCAGTTCTCGAAATAAAGAAGTTTGCTGTACAGTAACAAATGAATGATGATGAACAACACAAGTAGATTATTTTTATTTGTATGCACTAGAGCAGAGGTCCTCAATCTTTTGGGCACCAGGGACCGGTTCCATGGAGGAAGGTTTTTCCATGGACCAGAGGGTGCGTGGTTTTGTGTGCTGCCTGCATCTCGCGGGTGGGGCTTTGCTTGTTTGTGTGGACCAGTTGCTGGCATGCCGTGGTCCGGCACAGGTCCACGGACCAGGAGTTGGGGATTACTAAAGAGTAAAACTAGCACTATAATTATGGGAACTTGTATTGTTTTCTTCAAGCCCGAAAACTACAATGAAATGTGCAGATCCCAATCTGAAAAAAACATGGACCAAATTATATATTCTTTGCAGCTTCTGATCTTTTGTATAACATAGGAACTGTCAAGGAGTGTTACCTCGGAAACTACAGTGAATGGGTTTTCTAGCAGCACTAAATGTCCTTTTCAAGATAAATGCTTGTTCTGTCACCAAGACATCCATTATTAGAAGACAATTTAATGAAAAAAATGAAAAAAAAATATTATCATGAAAAAAAAATTATCATAGAAAAGCTCAAAAAGATTTGACTCCCTAATTTAGTAATGCCTAGAAGAACCCAAATGCAATCTTTGTATGTATGTATGTATGTGTGTGTATGTAGATGGATGATAGATAGAACATGCAGAGAGATAGTGAACATTAATGTGCATGATTAAAACACAATATTTTCCAGTTGAAAAAATACCACCTTTTCCACTGTTGTTACATGTCATCTGAATTAAGCAAACACAAAATAAAAATATTTATAATGATGACTTACAGAAATGTCAAGTTGTGTGGCCAATTGGCAAATTAACTTGGATATAAAGACCATTGAATTCACCTGAGCTTACCTGTCATGGATAAGATTGGACAGTATGTATGTCTTTTTCAGGTGGGATTTGTACATCCAAAATTATTTGTAAACTTCATGTATTTTGCAAAACCACTTTCATTTAATAATAAAAATAAAAAAGTAACCAAATGTGAAAACTGTCATTGTGGAAGCAAACAAGACACTTAGCTTAAGCAATGTTGCCAAGGGACAGTAGCTTTTGATGTTTAATTATGGATTACTGTTAACATATTGAAACAGATCTTAATTATTAAATATAATTTTGTCAAATATAATTATGTATTTTAAAAAGGCAAATATTGATTGGCTGAGATTTGATAGATTGTGAAGCTTAAAAAAGCAGGACTTTGACTCCTTTATTCAAGTGTATATATGAATGTGCATCAGAGTATTTCGTTTGCTACTATGAAGAATCCAGTAAACTCTTTGAAATAAGATATGTCTGCAAGTAGAACAAAGCACAACTGCCTGGTGGTGGAGCCATTGATGTCCCAGTGTTTAGAATGCAGTTTTGCAGGAAAACTGTGCCCATACCCTGGAGTTTTATCCTGAAAGAGCTCAAGGTTGACTTTCCACCCTTCTGAGGTCAGTAAGATGAGGGCCCAGAGTGTTGGGGGGCAATATGCAAATAATGCTGACATTGTAAACCTCCCAGAGAGTGCTGTGAAGCACTATGGGGAAGTATAGAAGTCTAAGTGCTATTGTTCCTCTCCTGATATTTTGAACATTGACTAATTTGGCTATCCTGATTTTAGCTTATAGGATTTTCCTACCATACTTGGTAGAATAGAAAGTTGAGGAAAACCATAAGCAGATGTGCCTGTCAAGTTCTTACTTGTTAGTGTTATCTCAATTTTCAAACATCCAACCTAATTAGATGACCACTATTGGGCCATTAATTTTGTTCCTTCTCTAGTTCCCATTCCAAACTCTTTCCAACTCTGTGCAGTTGAGAGCAGAATCATTTCGGACATATTCATTTGTTGTCACAGTTTGGACAGACAGATGGATAGAAGACAGATACAAGAGTAGAGAGATAGTGCCACACAATATAAACACACACAGACCACACCATTTAAAAAATAATCCAAGTTTTGTAAATCAAAATATAAGCAAGTAAAAAAAAATGCAACTCAGATAAACTAATAAACAGCAGAGGAAATCTTCACACACACACACACATACACACACACACACAAGCATTTGCGTTGGGGTTTCAAAATTTGCCTACATCACAGTAATTGCCTCTTGTTCCTGTCTGCAGAAATTTGCCCTTGTGATCTGAAAGCTGAAGAGCA